TATAATTGATACATTGTTATCAATGGGGGGCAAGGGCGGTGGGAGGAGGAATCCGGGAGGGCATCAATTTTGGCAGGGGGGGGTTTCCAAGGCCTCACTAGGCCCAAGCCTGGGCTAGAGTGGGAGCTGTGGGGTGTTAAGGGGGGTGGCAGGGTGCCTAGGCCGCACTAGGCCCAAGCCTGAGCTAGAGTGGGAGCTGCGGGGGGGCGGTTAGGGAGCATAGACCGGACTAGGCCCAAGCCTGAGCTGGAGTGGGAGCTGTAGGGGGTTTAGGGAGGGGGGCCCTAGGCCGGACTAGGTCCAAGCCTGGGCTAGAGTGGGAGCTGTTGTGGGGGGCGACTAGGCCGCTCTAGGCCCAAGCCTGAGCTAGAGTGGGAGCTGTGAGGGGTTAGAGAGGGGGGGCCCTAGGCCACACTAGGCCCAAGCCTGAGCTAGAGTGGGAGCTGTGGAGAGTTAAGGAGGGTTGAGCCCTTGGCCGGACGAGGCCGAAGCCTGGGCTAGAGTGGGAGTTGCGGGGGGTTAAGGGGGGGCGGAGCTTGCCTCGGGCCTTGTTTGTTGACAGTCCGTTGTGGGAGGGGCGGGTTGCCGAGCAACGGCAACGGCCGGAAGCGCCCCCTCTCCGCGGGCGGGACCCGGCGGCGAAGCTACCAATCCGCGGGGGAGCGCGGCGTCCAATGGGCACGCTGAGCCCGCGGGGGTTCCGGGAAGAGAGCCAATGGGAGGGGAAAGGAGAGACAGGACAGGGTAGGGGGGCGGGTTCTTAAAGGAGCCGCGCGGGAAGAGCTGTCACTTGGGCTCAGCTGAGCCTATTGCTGTGTGTGCGCACGTGGGGCATTGTGGGAGGAGCATGGGGCAGCGCCCACCCCCCCAGCCCAGGCCTCTCCCACTGCAGCTGAAGGAGCACTAGTGGGCCTGGCTGCAGTAGTGGGTTGTTATCCTCTCCCAGCCCAGGGGGATGGGGCACATCCATGGGGGCACCCCTGTGAACCCCCCGCAGCCCTCGGCCTGCAGGAACTGGGCCCTGATCAGCTCCCGGGGCCGTGTCCGACAGATGTCCCCCCACAGCAAGGCCTCGTGTCCCGTAACCCCCGAGTCGGTATTTCCCAGGGATCGCGGCCCGTCCTCAGGGGATGAAATCCTGGTGCTGTGCTTTGTACGCAGCTGGAGAGTCGTTCAATTTGGATCGGACGTTTCTAAGAGACCGGCTCAACTCAGCCGGGAAGACCCCGGGCCGGTGTGAGGCCGGAGGTGATCGCAACGGGTCCTGCGAGGGCTTTGCACGCTCCCCGTTCGAAAAGCGAAGACGACGCAACACGCTGAGAAGTTGGGGTCGGAGATGCGAACGCAGGAGATTCGACTCCTCGCCTCTGTGCGTGATGCAGCTCTGAACAAGGAGAGGGTGGAAAAATGAAAATGCAGCTGTCTGTCTGGCCTTGCATCCCTCTCGTTTCTCGGGGCGTGCAGGAGATCCCCGTCACGCGTCTGTCCCCGGAGCTGGAAGGGGTCTGAAGACTGAATTTGCAACCGGCTGAGATGCTGTGAGAGCGTCAGTGTTGCCAGACAAGAGGGGGTCTAACATCAAACAGCCTTGCACTTCTCTGGGACTTTCCAGCATCAGTTATTTGCACAGGGATGAAAGTGGTGCTGAGTAAAGAAACACTGTGAAAACCTACCACTGCTGCTGGTATAATTGCAGCTTCTTCTTCTGAACTACAGCAACCCTGCTGTGGGAGGGAGCCAGCGGCTATGACAATAAGGCCGGGGCTGTGGGAGGGAGCCAGCGGCTATGACAATAAGGCAGAGAGGATTTTGGATGAAGATTCAGACCAAAAAAATAATAATGCTGCAACACGCACAGAGCAAACAGGCTCTTGGTTTTCACCTGAAAGCCCCTCATCCCAGTAAAGTCCCGGCTGGATTTTGAAGCTGTTTTCAGGGCAGCTATGGGTATGGATGCTCAGGCTAGTCTCCCGATTCCCTGTTCTGCAAAGAAAACTTTCCGCTGCCTATTAAAAGAAAAAGGCTCTGTGGTGAGATAATGTGACATTTTAAACCGTGCAGGATTCTCCTCGGTGAATGGAGTTAAGCTCTGGGGCGCTGCTTCGAAAGGAATGCGTTCCAAGGGAAGTCTCATCTCTGCCTTCGGATGACAGATTTGCAAAGCAGCAGAGGAATGAAAAAAAAATCAATTGAGTGCAGCTCCACGCTGCACCTCAGATCACTGACACGTACCAAATGGCTGGCAGAGGGCTGTCATTCCGTTCCTCTTGGCGTGCACTGATAGACGGGAAATCTCATATTTGTGGTTACGCTTTGACACAAGGGATTGATGGCATTCATTTCACTGCACCGGGTGACTGCCCTGTGGGCGAGAGAGCATGGCAGAGCCGGAGCTTCCCTAGCATGTGTCACGCTCGTGGCAGGGCCGAGTTTGGTAAAGGCACCTGCAGTGATTCTCGCACGCTCAACGGCTTGCACCCAGCGTGGATGCTAGTAGCTAGCCCGTATATAACAGAGCCACAACTTCTTTTTATTTTTTTAAGAAATTTTTTTTCGTGTCCCCAGTCAAATCAGCCAAATCCATTTGAATCATTCAAGAACCATATGTGGCCCTGCTACTGGCAAGCATCCACCACCCCCACCTGGGCTTCAGATACTTCCAAATCCTTTAGTGGGCATCCTATGTGCAGGCCCAAGCCTGGAGGCTAGGGGTTCGGATGCCCCCTGAGTTCGCTTGTCCTCAGCCAGATGGCTGCAGGAGCAAGCTAGTGGGGAGTGTCCCATTTCCACAAGATCGGCGTATAGCTGAGGTCTTCCCACTGGAAGTGAAAGTGGGAGGCTATCTACGCATTCCCTCGGTCAGGGTACTACCCCCTGCCACGCTCGTGGTTTTTCCCTGCCAGTAGGAAAACCACCTTGGTGGTCACAGCATTTCCACTGCTCTTTCCAAAATCACCACAAAATTGTGGGCATCCCCTGAGTGAAAGGACCTCAGTTTAACTTCTCCAAGACAACGGCACCTTTCTGCTGCACAGCTGCTCTGAAATCACGCCCTGTGAATCTTCCTGGCATTTTCAGGGCACTTGATCAGGGGCACGGCGCCCAGTCCTTTGCTCACAGCTTCTGCGCGCCATGGAAAAATAGCTGAAATTTTTTTTTTAAATCCCCCTTGAGGAATTAGGAACTCCTAATGAGGGGTACTAATCGTGGGAATCACCTCCAATCCTACCTTGGCTTGCTGGTTGATGAATAAGCCTGAGGCACCAATGAGCAGCTCTAGGGATGTCCTTTTCAGAGGGAGCTAGTGTCAGAAATAGATGGCACAGGTGAAGAGCAGCCGCGAGAAGCATCCTTCTTCAAGCAGGAGAAGAACTGGACCGGGCGAGGCTTCACCCCAAGAGCTTGCAGATAGACGGGGCAAAGCTCTTTCAGGACATACCTTGTGCATCCCAGCTGCACGAAGGGCTAGCGCAGGTACATCTTGCCCTCCCAGTCAGTAGGTGAGATGGTGGTACAGCCAGTTGTCTCCTGGGGCTGGTAGGTTAAGAAATCAAAGGCTTCTCCCAAACTCTGCTTGTACCCCTAGCGCCTCCCCCCCACAGTGCCTACACAAGGTCCTTCTCATTACACTGCAGACAGGGAGCAGAAAGCAGAGCAGCAGACAGAGCAGGGAGCAGAAAGCAGAGCAGACGGAGCAGGGAGCAGAGGGGTCTGACCCTTCCCCGCCTTTCCTGTCTTGCATTCTTACAGTTGGGATCTAAACCCTCGCCAGGAGGCTTCAAGGCCAGTGTCCCACAGAGACCCGTTGTTTCTGGCTGGCTGCAGACTCAGGCAGACTCAGGGGAGCTTCCCTTTGCGCCCCTCATAGCCTGTGGGCCCCCACATGAAATCACAGGCCCTGGAGCACACGGACAAGACTCCCCAATAATCCGATCCAGCCCTGGCAAGCAGGACAGGGGCTGGCACAGACCCCCGTCCCCAGACACACAAACACTTGTCCAGGCTCCACACCAGCGGTGGGGAAGGAGGGACAGGGGTCAGGCTTGGGGGTGGTCTGTCGGGCACAGGTGAAGGACGTCCCGGCCAGGTGAAGGATTGGTAGGGGTGAGGGACTGGCAGAGGGGCTGTCTAGACAGGTGAGGGCTGGGAGCAGGTAAGGGACGGACCCCCGGGGAAGCAAGGCGGGCACAGGGGAGGAGCTGGGGTGGGCTAGTGAAGCTTTTGGGATAGGTGAGGGGCTGCAACAGGCAAGTGAGCAGGTGAGGGGCTGGTATGGAGGGGTGTCTCCATACAGGTGAGGGGCTGTCGTGGGTCTCATACAGGTGAAGGGCTGGTATAGAGGGGTGTCTCCATACAGGTGAGGGGCTGTCGCAGGTCTCATGCAGGAGGGGGGATCTCCGTACAGGTGAGGGGCTGTCGCGGGTCTCATACAGGTGAAGGGCTGGTATGGAGAGGGGATCTCCGTACAGGTGAGGGGCTGTCGCGGGTCTCATGCAGGTGAAGGACTGGTATGGAGAGGGGATCTCCGTACAGGTGAGGGGCTGTCGCGGGTCTCATACAGGTGAAGGGCTGGTATGGAGGGGTGTCTCCATACAGGTGAGGGGCTGTCG